TCTGTATTGTTCGGGAGAAATTCACAATATCCGAATCTGTGTAGACGCATCAAATTGGACTATTTTCAGTGCTGATTATCAGAAGTATAAAAGAAATCTTAGAGGAAGCAGAGCACCTTCTAATTCTAACTAATAAACTTTCCATTCAGCTTCACCATAAGCTATGCATAACAGGTCAGTGATAATGTCTTCGGTTAAGTACGTAAGAAAAGACAATTCAGAATAAATGTACTATAAAGAAACAAATTAGGAAGAGAGATATTAATTATTAGATCCAGCGTCATCTACACTGTTGAATATTAAGCCAGATTTCCATTCTCGTAACGGGGCACTAAACATGATGTCTAGTGACACAGAACACTGAGTTTTTCTAAAAATCAGATAACTTTTACAAGTTTTCTACCTTAGATGTTAACGGTTATGCTTTAATACTGCTATGTGTTCTCAGACTTTATTGATTGCTTTAAGTAACTATTCACAATGAGGTGACACGTTCTATAAAACAGTGTTTAAATTTTTTTCTTTTGCATTTTTTATTCCGTAAATAAATGTAACTTTTTCAAATCTTGAAAAATACCATGATTTGACAAAGTGGGAGGACCCCTTGATGACGAAAGGACTCACCGGGTTTCTGTGATCACCTGCTGAACTTAAAAAAGTCAGAGCAAACGTGTAACTAACAGAGATTTATCAGACAGTGAAAGTATTTATTAAAGTCATTAAATAAGACTATGTCTGCAAGATGAAAAAAGGGGATAATAGTCAGACAGATTTCTATGCCAGCTATCTCCATGGCACCTTCGTCATTTGTGATTGTTTTAATGATATATTGTGCGTTGAAGTTTTCGTAGCAGTTTGGTTAAGTTTTGGGGGTGGAGCTGCTAGCACCACGCCCCAACCCTCCCTCTTTATCCGGCTTGGACCAAACTAGTGAGCTAGTAATTAGTTGTTTTAATGATGCATATCAAATATTCAACCTCCTGAATAGTGCTTATCCTAACATAAAACTTACAATGGAGTGAGAAAATGAGAACAAGTTTCATTTTCTTGACCTTGCTATCCACTTGATATGGACGGTAAATTCATAAGGTACTTCCACAGCAAAGAGACCTAGAGGGCGATTTATCTGAACTTCAAAAGCTTTTGCCGTATAAGTTAATAAAGGAACAGATGAGAAAGTTGTTTGATCATGTAAAAAACTTTTGCTCAGACGAAAAATTCGAGGAAGAGCTATTCATTGTGGAAAATGCCTGCGTGATAATGGTTACCCATAAAAATTCCCCGACAAACTTGGGAAATGTAGTGTTGCGAAAAGGAATCGTAGTACAGTAGAGAAAAGCTCTGTCTTTCTACAGCTTATCTTAAAAGGTGATAATACTGCTAGCAGAATAAGATGCAATCTGCCCACTGCCCTGAAAAGAACACAGCCAAGCATGTACGTGTTTATCAAACGACAAGTTAAGACTGTCAAAAGTGGGGAAACTCTCACCTCATGTCACCTCCAACTGTGTCTACCAATTTACATTGCGTGCCAAAGCATATACATTGGAAGAACAAGGAGAAGGGTTATTGTCTTCATTTCTTAGCACATACGAAAGCACATGAGACTAAAGATCTCACAGGCAATAAACAGTGTAACTGCGCGTCATCTGTTGGATACTGACTATGTTTTAAGCAATCTGAAGGCGTTCAGAATAATCAACAGGCAAAAGAAACCTAGCTTACTACGTTTTACCACCATCAAACGATTAAAGCTAAATATATGTACGCAGAATGAGACAGTGATGAATCTTTCACTACCTTAGTGACAACAAAGTATACAAATTTTATGACGCCATCTTCTGTCCTGTTCTTTCATCTAAACATGAGACACCCTTCCCCTCCCCCAATTTTCGCTGTATAATGAAAATATTTTCTACAGTTACATGACCTATTATATTGTTATACTCTTTCTAGTTACACCTTGTTTCTATCCAGGAAATTTGTTGAACTCTGTCTTTTGGATTCCAAGCATATTCGTCCAATTATCTTACAAATAGCCAATCCTTTTAACTCTTAATTATCTAACAACCTACATCATTACGGGCTTTTTTTATTCCTTTACGTTCCCAGTAGAACATAGGGCTTCAAGTTACAAGCTTGAAGTTTCTGTAGCAGTGTTTATTTTTACAGGATGTGGTTGCTAGCCTCGTGACCAACCTTTCCTCTTCAACAGCTTTATTACTGGCTTAGAGAGGTAAAGGAGTGCGTCGACCAAGGACCGAACCCCGGACCAAGTGCATGGTCGGCAAGCGTCCTAACCGCTGTGCCACCGACGCACTTATTACGGGCTTATATTACTCTTAATTACTAACAGTTACTCCTTGTCCTCGCGAACAAAGTATGTTCAGATCTTTAATGTTATTTACATTTTTGTATTGTTCAGATTGTAGTTATTTGAGGAGACTTCTCGAAATAATAACATATGAGTTCATATTATCTTGGAGCATTTGTCCTTCTTGCTTTGATGAATTTAATTTTAGATTTTATTCAACTACGAATTGAAAACAAAACTATCGCTAAACACGCCACAACATTCTGACCCACCTTAATGTTCATACCTGATTCATAGAATGCTGCTGGTACACTAGTGAGAAATAACAAAAGACAGACTGAAAAGACAGGGTTTATTCCTCCAGGGTAAAGAGACAAATTATAATAGGAAATCTAACTATTCATATAATGATATCACAGAAACAATAACTGTTAAGCTCGCCTTGTAACCAGAAGGTCCTGGGTTCGAACCTCAGTGGGTGCATATTGGTGAAGGGTCCCAAACTAGGACGAAACAGCTGTCCAGTACTCCGAGCTGGTTTTCCAATGGTCCCCTAACTGATGTCAGCTCATGATGAAATTCTACAGCCAATGAGATAAAGATGACACATTTTACCTAAAGGTGAACATATTCAGTCTACAACTTGCACAGAAAATATCAGCCGGTAGTATTCGTTTGTCCCTCCTCTGAGGAAAAACAACTTCTCATCTTCTCACACTTCAAAATGTTTTTAATAATATCTCGAAAATAAGATGTCAGAATGCTCTATCATAAACAAGCAATCAGTTCTATCCATCTTATCTATCATCGAATATGCGAAGGTAACACCCTATTTCTAAGATTCATAAGCCTCTCTATGACAAAACGAAAGTCTTTAGAATTCGATTTTCTCCTTTTAGCACTGAAAGTTGTGTTTGTGTACACATTGTTTCTAAGAGAAGAATCGATCAATAGTATTTCAGTCAATAATTCTTTCTTGTTTTCACAGTCAAAAAAATTAATTGTACATACTTTGTTTTCTAAGCAAATGTTTACCTACTTTATAAGGAAGCAAAAAGATCTACCATGTTGTTAATCAACAACATGTTTAATGTTTTCACTATTTCATCATCTTTGTCATTACTCATATGAAAGTTATCAGCTGCTTAATCAGATGTCAATAGCTAGAAGGTGACAGTAACAATCTATTAAATTATGATTGTCTTCAATACTCAAACTCTGTCTTCCACTCATATACCAAGAGTAAGGAGTCTTTTTTTTCATTTATATGATTATAGAAGAAATTCACTGATTGTTATTGAAGGACATGACGCCATCTACTTTGGACTGATAGATATGAATAGTTGGATACTACTCACACTAAACAGTAGTACTTAAAAGGCAGATCGAAGCGATCCACTTCTCTCGTTTTATGCCAAGCTGATCAGCTGTATACCTGGTTTGACTCAACTCAGTTCAGAGAAGTGAATCAATTCAAATCACCCGGAATTCTCAATGGCTACTAGAACGAACTGGTAATTCAATAAATCAAATTTCTCGTTTGCGAATTAAATTGTTAACTTGCAACTTACTTCAAGGACTTATTTGTGTACATTATCGAGCTCACTATGGTTTCAATATCTGCCCAAATATTCTATTTGTAAATGTAACTGTAACCCATATATAATCGACCATAAAATAGAGAATTAACTCTACCCGACACATACAGTAAGGTTTAGTGAACAGTGCAGAAAACTCCAAAGGCTCAACTTGAAACAGACTAATTGAATATGCTCGACTACATATAAGGACCATTGAAAAGTGTTAAAATTGTTGAATTAGTGTTCATATTAAGTATTCGACTTTAGATAACACAGAGGATTTAAGTGCTATGTTGACTGTCATGAAACTGCTAAGTAGGTTAATGTCCCACTGAACTCAGAAATTATGGAAGTTGGTGAATGTCACATAGGCTTTCGGGATTTCTGATGAGATTTTATCGTAAGATTTGTAAACAAAAATGGTTTAAAGGAGGGTTGTAAACTTTTAGGGCTCATTTGGATTGACCATTTTTTGAGTTTTAGTCAATTTACGAAGCCTCTTATTTCAGAACGTTGATCTGTGGTCAATACTGTTAACTTTCCTGATATCATATATATATTTCCCCTTCGGTTCCGAGTGTAACATAGGGTTTCATCTTCACGTCTCGTCTTTACCAAGTTCTTTGTTGTCTTTTTTAGCTAGGTACATGATTGCTTATAAACTCTCATTTCGTCCTCACACGATTGCCTCCATGTCATCCTTCCCCGCCCAACTTACGGTTTCTCATCAGTGCTCCACTTGACGGCATGGTGAGTAATGCCACACAACGGTCTCCTTAGTGTGCCCAATCTCTTTTCATTTCCTTTTGCAATTATGATGGAATCTTTGTTCTTTGTTAATCCTTTCTGGCTTGCCGTCTGATCTTCAGTATGCAGCGATGGCAGCTATTGATAAAAGACTGAAGCGGGCTATTGGAAAGGCTTTCCGTGACACATATTTTTCAGTCTACATAACTTAGCCGACTATTTGTAATTTATTGTAAGTTTATAAGTTTTAATTTGCTTTCTTTTATTCATTGAATTCTTTGTTTTGTTATATTCTTGTAAATACTTCTACTAGAATGACTTGACAGCTGACTAACTATTGATTGTTCTTTAGAACTTACTTCTTTTTATGGCATTCTTTACTTTCCATGATATGATTTCTTAAAGACATCTAATTATTATGTTAGCAAAGTAAGATGAATAGACAGGCAAACGAACGCCCAGTCAGTGGGAGGCAATGAAATCAGGTAAATAATAATCCATAGTCATAAAAAGAGTGTTGAAAGAAGTGCAGGAATATTAAACAGGATATTTATTTCTTTAAAATGTCGTCAGAATAACTCTCAGTTTCTAATGGGACTTTTGCTATTCATCCAAATGATAAACGTCTAGAGTTAACAGCTAGAGTTAGGCTTATATAAGAGCCGTGAAATGTATAGATTTTGGTTAGTTTAAGGTAAGACTGGGGTGAGCTTAGGTGATAGCTTAGATTTACTGTCGATGACAGGTAACTTTAAGTTAAGCATAATATTATGTGAAACTATACACTAGCTCAATTGTCCGTCAGTCAGAATTTAAACTGTACAATTATAGATTGCCTGCATGGCTAGTCAGACAGAAAAACCAATCAGATTTGATAGACTCTCATTATTCAACGTAGTTTTGAAGCACACTTAGTCCCATGGTACTTCTTTGTATGACTACTGTTAATATATATTTGTAATTACATTACTTCTGACTGTCTCGTTTGGAAATACAATTTCCAATATTCCTGTGTGAATCTTCTTGAAACTACCGGTTCGAAGTCAGGTAAAATCTACTAGGTAACGCTTATTATTGTTAAACTGAGTTATGTGAAGACTCAGCGAAAATTATTATCAATCCCTTCGATTCCTAGTAGAAGATAGGGCTCCAAGCGCGCATCTCTATTTTAACCCGCTCCCTAAAGTCCTCTTTGGCTGGTTACACAATTGCCCATTAGCTTTCATTTTCTCTCCACGCTGTCTCCTTCACATCTTCCTCAGATGCTAAACTCGTCGTTACCCATTCGAGTTCCAATCTAGGGTGCCATCTGACGCACGATTTGACTCAATGGCCTCAACAGCGTATGTTCACCCCATCTCCATTTCCTTCTGCATATTTATTGGGCGATTGGTTCTTGGTTGCCTGGCTGACAGAGTTCTTTGTTGCATATAAATCTCTACCGGTTTGCCATTTGATCCTCAGTATGGAGAGAAGGCAGCTGTTGATGAAAGTCTGCAGTGGATTTTCGCAAGCACTTTCAGTGACGGGCCAAGTCCCTGAACCATACAAAAGAACTTACATAACATTAGTATGAAGTGTCCGTATTATTCGTCTTATGTTAAGTATGGTAGATTTCCACAATGAATTCTTTGTAATGAATATCTTTCTTGCTTTCCTTACCCTGCTTTTGACACCCTCACCCATGTTGCCTGAAGATGAAATGATCCTGCTTACATAAGTGAAAGAAGTGTGACCTTATTTAAATTTCTCTTGCTGATATTGATGGGTGCTTGCCATTGTTGGTTAGGAAGCTTTATCACCTCTGTCTTCTGTATTCAACGAACAAGAGGGTTTAGTTTAAGTCGTCATCTCGACAAAAACCTTTCCCTCAAATATGAAGGAATTTCATTATTCATATTTAACTGAAGTTCTCTTCTTGCACCCAAATTCTCCCTTTGAACACAACTAGTCTTTTCAAGAACTTTGTTGCGTTCATTCATTTGAGTGGCAGTTCTTTAACTTCACCGTAATTTTTTTGGCCAACGAAGCTCAGTGATTGAAGTAAAGATAATTATTTTGAGATTATGAATAGTTGGTGACACAGTGATTCGGACGCTGGCCGAGTACGCAGATGGTCCGGAGTTCGATTCCCGGCCGACGCACACCTGATATCAGTAGTTGACCTGCTAAATTTGGGCTACCGATATCACACGCTGAAAATTCCATATCTGAACCGCAAATACTGTGTGGAATCAAGCTATAATAATAATAAAGGTTGCGAAATTGATAATTAATTATACACACTTTTGAAAAATATTCATGAACTGTAAATTCTGCACTGCAACTTTCTCCAGCTGAACAGTTGTTTTCACTCCACAGAAACAGTCCGAAACAAGGTTTTTTTACAGAAACTATCTCACGGAGTTAAATACAAGTGGAATAAACTTGAGTGTTTGCTTACTGGATTGCGGTATACGCCACCAGAATTTCTCTACCTATGAAGATAACTTTCAGTACGAACTGATATTCACTAAGGAACAGCTACTAGAGATTTAAAAATTACTGAATGAAAAGGCAGTTGCAGCGAAGAAAATTTTCTTTTCGACGAAGTCATCAACTAGGCTGTACATTCGTGTATTTATGATAAACGGGTGGGAAAGTTCCAGGATAATTTCTGATCAAGGGTCAGAATAATAAAACTATAATTAGGAATTAAAATGCCATAATAAACGGGCAAAACGGATAAAACTCAAGGGAAGTAGCATCATAATTACTGAGAACATTGACATATTGTGCAATTAGGGGTTAGAAATGTAGAAGTAACAAAATAGACAGGATGTTTGGATAAAAAATCTATTGGGAGGATAACTAATGTGACGAATAATTGTCTATTTTTGTTATTTCTACATTTCTAAACCCTAATTGCACAATATGTCAATGTTCTCAGTAATTATGATGCTACTTCCCTTGAGTTTTATCCGTTTTGCCCGTTTATTATGGCATTTTAATTCCTAATTATAATTTTATTATTCTGACCCTTGATCAGAAATTATTCTGGAACTTTCCCACCCGTTTATCATAAATACACGAATGTACAGCCTAGTTGATGACTTCGTCGAAAAGAAAATTTTCTTCGCTCCAGCTGTCTTAATATTACTCCCTATGATCAAATTACTGAAAGCTTCCAAAGAGCTGTAAAATGTTAGGAGTCTTGCACCATCTGAATTTTCTTGGCGCTGATGAATAACATGTACCTGCTAACCTGGTGAAACTCCAGCTTGAGTCAGTCATCGTCTGTGTTGGTGATTTTCCAAAGGAGACGGGGTTATATAGAAGTAGAAGCTATTTAATCCCAAGTGCTCACCTAAGTTGACTGAAAGGATGTGCAGGATGTGTCTATTAGATAAAGCAACATGAAATAAAGTGCAATTTAGAAAAGCTGCAGTATGCACCAATTTAAGAAATCATGTGACAATACAATAATTTAGTTCTCTCTCTAGAAAGTAAGTCCTATTGAATCATAAATTGAATGACTTTCTTCCCAGATAGATGAACATCTAAGTATCTAACTGGAATAGTTCTAACACGTCCAAAAGTCTTACCATTTCCTTTTTATGAAGTAATTTCAGTAACTACTGAAAACTACATCTAGTCAGTGGGTGAAAAGAAGAAGAAATTTCAGATAATGCAGTTTTAAATCTTATAGTCACATAAGCATTTTTACCATTAAGGATTGCAGTGGCAAATTAATATTATTCCTTTGAGCATATTATCTGAGAGTTGATAGGATTGAATTGGTTGTATTAATTGTGAGCTTCTTGCTCAAAAATACTTTGGCTAATAACTTTATTTCTATCTTCCATCAGATATTTTACACGGCAATGCATGTTCAGTCCTTTGCCATAAAAACCTCTGACGATCTAAAAAATGTGTTCATGAGAAATGAAAAGTGAAGGTATGCAAACACCTTTTTCATTGACTCAAGTTTTTTTTATTTACGCCGATTCTATTTAACCTAATCTTCGACTATATTCTTTAAACAATTCCAAAATATGATAATTGTGAGATGTGAAACACAAGGAAACTCCGATCTTCAGCAACGGGACAAAATACAGTAGTGGTACAGTTCACATTTCGCATCAAAGATATACAGTCACTTCATAGGTTCGTTGAAGACTTCATCTAAAATCGCTGTAGATGCGAAACCACTGGAAGTAGTCAGAGTCCCAGTCTAAGTAGATAGTTGTATGAACACAGGTACATATGTAATATTACTGGCCATTCTTCCATATAGCGAATTAGATTGAACAATTTTTGATATAGTCACGACTTTTATCAATCTGTATACGACAGAGTGAACAATACTTTGAGAGAAAAGTATTGCGGGCACCTGTAAAACTTAGCTTTCAAAAATCAAACCACCCAACGATTCAATCTGATCGATCAATGAACACTAACTAAGTCTGTAAGACTGCTGAAATTTGATGACAATAATACGTAAGTAATTGTAACATTTTTCACTGTCTATGAGCATTATAAGGATTATGATTTGTAGGATGAAGTGATCTCAAAACATAAATTTCGATCATTTAGACAGATTGTACATATTAGCAGACTAGTTGCTTATATTGTGTATATCACTTGATTGAATTTGAAAGGAGTATGTAGGTGTTCAACCAATGAGATGGCACTACACTCGAAAATAATTATCCTCATTTAATATATCCAGGAGTTCAAGATACCTTAAAAATCTCTAGCTTGACACTATTTTAATAGGTATCTAGTTTTCTTAATTTTTCAAACGTAATGTTAACTTTTTAAGTTCTTATTTCTGCCAATTCACGACATAGCACGATCCCGAGGTCGCCTTGTAACCAGAATGTCCCGGGTTCGAATCCCGGTGGGTGCGTACTGGTGAAGAGTCCCAAACTAGGACGAAATAGCTGTCGAGTACTCCCAGGTTTTCCAGTGGTTCTGTAGCTGATGTCAGCTCATGATGAAATCCTCCATGCAATCAAACAAAATCCCTACAAAAACCAATACTTGAAAAACTTTTTAAGTGTTCAGTGATAATGAACAAAGTGTACAGTATTTTATGAGAACTAATCAATACAAAAATCATGCGTTGCCATAGCATTTCATTTGATTTGAACAAAGCAAGAAGAAAAAAAGCATTGAGCAGGATAAAATGACGTCATTGTATCTCCTTGGTCATTGTCAGCTGCATACACCCATAAATAATTTTAATATCAGTATACAAAATATTCAAATAACTCAGTTATTGATCATAAAGGTTAAGGATATTGATGTCACGTGATAATTAAGTAACAAACGATAACTACATCTATTGTTCCAATGCAACCTATACTGTCTATGGTTCGCTTACATTGCCATAAATCCGCTCAACGGTTAATTGAAAAGTTAGAG